CTGAGCGGGCCAGGTGGACCACGTCTGTAAGTCAGTCCTGGTACTGGTTGTTGTTTTGTTGGTGTCTCTTCACATTCCTGGGGTTGCTGTATATCATATTAAGCATATGAACACTGTACACAAGGGAAATGGAATCATCATTTGCATATATCGAATGCCGTGGATCTATCATACCGGAGTGGTAACTATATATGGTCACCGACAGAATTTTGGAAAAAAATAAAACGTTTCAATTTACAGGCGCCGCCTGTCTATGATAGAAAAGTTACGAACCTTGTTTTTTCCATAATTATTTTTTCCATAATATTTTTTTCCATAATTCTGTCGGTGACTGTATGTCCATCGATTCGCAATTTGAATGCATTTTAAGGGGGAATATAGACGAATTATAGAAAATATGTGTCTAAAGATCTGGTATATGCCCCTAAGTCTTCCCTTGATATACATAATATCATGTGATGTTCGCAATTTGAATGCATTTTAAGGGGGAATACTGAATTATAGAAAATATGTGTCTAAAGATCTGGTATATGCCCCTAAAGCCTGCCATTGATATACATAATATCTGGATGTTTCCCTTTGCCAAGCCACCACTTGGTTGATACTACATACTTGCATTTGCATACATATTTCCATAACCCCAAAAAAAACGGGTTTGAATTGTGGATCCATGACATGTCCAACAGGTGGAGCCCCAAACATTAATTATGGAAAAAATAATTATGGAAAAACCGGTTAATCTGGCCTAGCCCCCTGATTTCACAGGAAAAATCAATTATGGAAATAATGGCCACCTCCAAAAATTATGGAAAAAAAGGTTCGGATCACTTCCGGGATATTTTAAACCCTTATGGGGAAAAATTCAATTATGGAAAAATCGGACGCAGGCGCCGCCTGTCTAAGTTGAACGTTGTATTTTTTTCCATAATTCTGTCGGTGACTGTACTCTGGAACTATGTATGTATGTATGTATGTATGAATGTATGTATGTATGTCTGTATATGTATATGTATATGTAATGAATATGAATACAGTGCATCATAGATAGGAGTATATCCTAGTGTCAAGTATAGAACATCACCTCAACAAGGGTCTTGGAGGTGTGACGCCCTCTGCCTAGTCCAAGCTGCGCCTCGACGAGGCCATTGGACTGCGGTCGCCCCGCAGGAATATACTTGGGCACTATTCCAAGGGTGAGTCGGATCGCTTCAGCAACGACCCCCCGGAACTGCGATCCGTTGTCTGACCAACAAATTTTGGGTATGTCGACATGATGATAATGCTGCAGCAGCAACGTTTGGACTTCCTTGAGGCCATTCCTCAGGTGTTTGGCAAGGGAAGAAAAGTCAAAAGTTAAAAGGCTGAGTCACTGATTCTTGAGGTAGTGAAGAAACCCATGGTTCTGTTTCCTATCCGAAAGTAGAAATCAATAAGTGATCAAGGCAGTACCGAGAGTCGCATCATCATCGAGAGCATGGGCCCAGAGGCGGTTGCTGGCAAAATCGAGGAGCAGTAGCATTGTCCAAGGTTCCGAAGAAGAAGGCGTTACCTTCTTGAGGTCGACACCGAGGATTTCACCAGATGCTAATGGCCGTGGAAGCCTCCTCACATCCGGCACGTTGACTCCTCGGGTGGAATTGGCGAGGCAGAAGTCACAACGTCGAAGCACGAAAGCTGCGTCGAGTTCCATGTTGTTCCATGTCTGCTCGGCCTCACGCAAGACCTTGATGACACCTTCTCGGCCCCCCAAGTGCTGCAGGGATTCATGCGCTGTCACGATTTTGTTGATTTTCTCCTGGACAGAGATGCCAGAAGTGTCAGCTTTGATGTCCTTCATCCACCAATTGGCTCTTTTGCCCACTGCATGCATTGCCTGAGCCGTCTTCTTGTCGATGCCTGAAGCTGGGAGTGGTGCAACTGAATCTGTTAAAGATGCATTTAGCTGGACTTTTGCAAACATCAGCTAATTTGATAGCGTGGTATGTCTGTTTATACAATTTATATATATATATATATATACATGTAGTATATTTATATAAATATGTAGTATATATATATATATACATGTAGTATATAAGAAAAGTCAAGGTGCTGGGCAGTGAAGTCAAAGGCACGTGCAGCAACCAACGAAGTGCTTCTGCGACATCCTGTGTCTCCCAACATTCAACGCCAGCGGTTTCGCTAGTTCCAGCGTCTTTCGAGCGTTTGCCACCATGCTCCTGGGCAAAGTCAAGCTTCCGTTTCCGCATGTTCGTCTCACAGCACTCTTTGCAAGTTGAGCCAACCTTGCCAGTGTACTCCCACTGAGTTTTGCTGAACGCATCCTTCGCCTTCTTCACCTTGCATTGCTGGCACTGCTTGGTATGCTGCTTCTGGGAAATCTGTTGTTTCGCAACACACAATTTACACTTGGACTTTGACCCGCGCTCCCACTGAGTATCTGTGAAAGAATCACGGGGAAGCTCTTTCAAGCACTCCACGCAGCTTTTGGTGGACTTCACACGTTTCAAGAAACGATCATCCACTGGGCGGCATTCTTTGCACACTGGAGTCTTGGAAAGAAACTGCCGTTCTGTGAAGAGCGCCCTGCGAAGGTCTTTCTTGCATTCAACACACTGTTTTGTAGTGCTTGCAACTTGTGGGAACCTGGCATCCAAGGCTGCCTCAATCAGCTGCTGAACATCGTCCTGGCAACCGGACGGTACCCATGCAATATAGGCTATGCGCAGTGGAAATTGATTAGAAACACGAACGACAATGATATCGATTTTGTTTCATCGGACGGCACTCCTTCCGAACATATTCTCCCGCTTGTTGGGCAGATGCAGAGTGAGAGACAGGTTGCTCGGGCACAGAGCTGGCAGACGCTGGAGCAGCAACAGCCGAAGGACTGCCGTCTCGCGGAGGCTCAGCTTCGCATGATGCTGCGCCTCGTGACAGCAAGTGCAAGTGTTAGACAAGGCACTGTATGCTCATGGAATGTCCAAATTCGTGAATAAAGGTAAAGCCAAGAAGTCTACAGCTCCGGTAGGAACCAGTTGATACTTATGGAATATGCCGATAGCCTGCATTCAAGCAATGCCAAGTGCATGGCAACAACATGTCAAACATGTTAAAATACTTGGAACAACAATGGATGTAGGAGTCAAAGAAAACCAGTCTCAACTGCACCGTGAATGTAAGAGTTCGCATGTTCGTTACGAGTTCCAAAACCCCGGCTCCTATGTATATTTATACCATATGTATACATGTATCTATGTCTATATGCATGTATATGTAAATATATAAATATATCTGTCAATGTACATATTCATATCTATATATATATACCTAGATATATATATATATGTATATAGATATATTTTTGCATATATGCGTATATATATATCACTATATGTATATGTATATACATATTTTTGTATAGGTGTATGTAGGTGCTATATATGTAAGGTAAATAAAGTTATGCATATATACATATATATATATGAATAGAAATAAAGAAATAAATAGATCAATAATACATATATATATATATGTATGTATATATTCCCCTAGCGGGCTGGGGACATCGACCACGCAGGCAGCCCCAGAAAGCCAGAAAGGAGAAAGAGGAGAAGGGAGGAAGGGCAAGAAAGCGGGGTGGGGACGTGGCAGTGTCGCACGCACCCACTGCCATGGGCCACCAACCCAGGCAGGGACGTGGAGCACCGCACACGCACCCCCAGGGAAGGGGGAGGAAGAGGAGAAGGGGGGAAGGGCAAGAAAGCGGGGTGGGGACGTGGCAGTGTCGCACGCACCCACTGCCATGGGCCACCAACCCAGGCAGGGACGTGGAGCACCGCACACGCACCCCCAGGAAGGGGGGAGAAGGTGAGGGGGAACAAGGGAGGAAGAAAAGCCTAGACCCCCAAGTTATTTATGTATAGCACCAACGGAACATCCCAATATCAGTGAGTAGTAATGATACTGTATCTCTGCATTGGTCCATGTATCAAAGGTTCCACTGAAGTACGACCTGGCTACCCATGCGTGCCTTGGCAATGCTTCTTCGCCTTTTCCAAGGTCAGTGTTTCATAGTAGTGTTGATGCTGACGTGTTGCCTGCCAGCGGCCTCGCATATATTCCCGCGCTTCTTCCATGGTAGCTTGGGGATGTTGTTCCCAAAAGGTGCAAACACTTTGCCAATCCTGACCCGATCGATCAAGCAGCTTCTCTCCAGACGGGACCTTTGGAGCAGCTACCTTGGGAACTACTTTGTCAGCCTGAATCCTGAAGACCGGCTTGGGCACCATCTGAAGGAAAATCGACTCATTCAAGTGATCCAAGGATTTATACAGCACTTGCACCACGTGATTCTTTCCAGGCTTGGCATTTTCTGAGCCGGGCATGCGACCTTGTTGATTCATAGAACATGCTCTGGCATCAGCTTGCAATGCCTGCGTCAGTTGCTGCTGCACCCAGAACGCAGTTTTGGCTGACAGCGTGTGGTCGATGAGGATCCACGCTTGAAAGTTTCCAGCAGACGTGGTAGTGACACACCGTGGCCTGACTGCCAGCAAGTCTTCCCACCGTCCCTTGTAGCCGTCTAAATCCAAGAAGACTAGATTGCCTAGCAAAGGCCGCACAAACAAATGGCATCTATTGAGTTGCAGCCATTGTGGTAACGCTGCCAGCAGCGCTGCCCGACCAATCGACTGTCTATTGAAAAGGCATTGGCTCTTGTCAGCGCTGAGTGCTGTCACATGCCAAGCAGCACACTCAGGGAATGCATTTATGAATTCGACCGCTTGGTCCATCGCGGCTATGCCGCAAAATCAGCTGTTTCTGTGAATAAAGGAAAAAGGCAAAGCACATTTGTGGAGTCTCAAGTCTGATCAAATTAGACTGCACCGTCTGTTGTCACCAAGAATGTTTAAGTAGAAACTGGCAAAATCAGCCCTCGTGATAAGTCCCTAGTAGGTTGTTCCGTAGCAGTCTATAGAGACTGCCTCTCTGAACCTATGAACTACTCGCTCAAAAACCTGGTTTAGGCAGTTTACAAACGTCAAACATCTACCACTTCAGCGGCATCAATCTGCTGGGATATAAAATCATATCTAGATGCTTTAGCTAGTGCAGCGTTGGGTAGGGAGAAACCATCCAATAGAAGGAAGACACGTACATATCTTATATGGATACATACATACATGTATGTATACATTACATTACATTACATTACAATACATTACATTACATTACATTACATACATACATTACATTACATTACATTACATACATACCATACCATACCATTACCATTACCATTACCATTACCATTACCAATACAATACCATACCATACATACATACATACGTACATACATAGATACATACATACATACCTACATACATACATACATATACATACATACATACATACATATACATACATACATACATACGAACGTACGTACATACATAGATACATACATACATACATAGATACATACATACATCTATACATACATACATACATACATACAAAGATAGATAGAAAGATAGATACATACCACCAGCACAGTCCACAGGGGGGGGGACCACCACAGGCCACAGGGGGGGGGGGCAGATAGAAAGATAGATACATACCACCAGCACAGTCCACAGGGGGGGGGACCACCACAGGCCACAGGGGGGGGGGGCAGATAGAAAGATAGATACATACCACCAGCACAGTCCACAGGGGGGGGACCACCACAGGCCACAGGGGGGGGGGGGGGGACAGATAGAAAGATAGATACATACCACCAGCACAGTCCACAGGGGGGGGACCACCACAGGCCACAGGGGGGGGGGACCAGAAGAACCAGAGGATACTGTAGACCCATACCCATTGGTGGGGGGGGGGGTGGTGGCCAACGCTGCACCATATATACATATATACATATATATATATATATAATGCATGTATGGATGCTGTGCGCATGTGTGCCTCCCAGGCTCCTGCGCTCGCTGGGCGACCGTTGCCGCGAGGTGTCTGTCTTGCGCACCGCCACAGAGGCAGCTCTGGCCCTGGGCGCCGTGCGCCAGGCGACCAGGGATGACATCGTTTCCTAAAAAAAAAATCACCATCCCATGCGTCCAATATCACCAGTATGTATATAATCTCCGTGCGTTTATTGAAAATGGTGTGGTGTTTGATGAATTTGTTGGTTTTGTTGGGAAATGGAAAAGAAACTTGGGAAATCATGGAAACTCTGTAGTTTGCTGAAGTTGTTTGTTGCATCTTGTTGCCGTATGTTGCTGGGGAGGTCCTTTCCACTGTCAAATTCTCTGTTTTTTTCTCCCGTAGGCCTTGTCCTTTGGCCTTGATGCCTTGACCACTTGCCGAAAGCTGCAAGATCGATTTTCAGAGGCAGGGCGGCGGATTGGCTCACAAGGTGAAGAGGATCTTAAGTGTACAGCAAAAAACTGGTCAGTGGTATGAGCCACTTATCTCGCCATTTAGCCTCGTTATATCTCTTTATGATGTTCATAGATGTTCATTTCTGTGGAAAACCCAGTAATAACCCTCTCCAAATGGTAGGTCTATTGATGTTTACCATGGCTTACCACATGGTTTTGCTTCACCCATCCCTGTCACCATCCCTCCATGGCCGCATCGCGCCCAGGCCAAGGTGCTGTGCCTCGTGGCCAAAGCCCGTGGGGCGTGCAATGAATCGGCCAGCTGTGCAGCGGCCCAGGCAGCTCCACCACTCAACAGTGTGGGGGAATGCTCCCTGTAATTTCTATATATGGATGTATGTGTTTATTGTTACTATTAATTATTGTTGTGAAGTATTCATCTTCTTCTTAGAATATAATTACATGGCATCTCTGTCTTTCTCTACCTATCCGTGCGGGGCACCATGTGTTAAATGTGACGGACAGTGGTCAGGAAGCGCTGGCTATCTACGAAGACCTGGATCTGAAATCCTTGCAGCTTGAAGCACTTGAGGCACTTGCAGCCGCTTGCAAGGCTGGGGAGAAGCGAAGCTGGGGAGAAGCCGTGCTCAATCCATTTGGCGGTTTGAAATGTGTCTTATTTTCAACCATATTTGGGATGTTGATCCCAACTGACTAATCAATATGTTTTGGATGGGTTGAAACGACCACCAACCATTTCTGAACCTTGTAGTTGATTAAGTCCTCGATTGGCATGTCGAATTTACTGCATTTTAAAAAGAATCCACTGCCACGATGCTAGCAACTTAGCGAGAGATAACCTGCATGGTTGGCACCTGTCCGTGCCAGGGTTTGCTTCAACAGGTTGAATCATTGTTTTCTATGATTCCAATGCTTACAACTTACAAATTATTTCTAGATTTTTTACGTTGAATATCCATCCGTAATGAACGCTGAAAAAGTCGTGATGCCACTTCAAACACATTCGTAAAGCATCAAAAAACTGCAAAACTATGACACCTAAACAATGGGAATGCCCCCCCACTCGCATTACACACGTTTCACATCGTTTCACGATGTCTCACATTGATTCTTTGCATTTGTATCGCTGTATCGCTTGCAAATGGCACCAGCAGAAGCATCTGATTGCAAGATGCTTGTGCATTCACAATGTGACCACCCGGAGACTGCCCAGGGAAAGCAGACCCCGCTGGAAGCATCGAGCTGCGCGGAGTCATTGGCAGCCAAATTTCAGGCAGCTGGCATGACAAAGGTGCAGCTTGCACTGGATTTGCGGCATGAAAAGAAATCCTGATTCGTTTCAGTTGCACATGTCGAAAGGTACACAATGGAAGGCATCATCTTGTTTGATTTTGGAGTTTCAGACCTGGTGTTGATGTATGGTGTCGATTTTGTCATCCCATGTCATGTTCCGCAGTTTTTTAATCAGCTCACGGGGACCGTGACCACTCCCTGAGCTTTCGCATCCATGGCCTCGGAAAGAAAGACCTCAAAAGCATGGCAAGTGGCCTTGCAGCTTTGCGCAGCTGAGGTGTGCCATGAAAACCATGTGGAAGAAGATGAGAAATCTGCGGTGTTGTGCAACAAGATTCCGGTTCCATCGCTTTTTGGAGGAGCTGGGCGCACGACAGTCTTCGGCCGAATGCTTTGGTGTGCTGCCATGCTTGGCACAGGACCTGTGATAGATTTGTACAGCGGCATTGGCGACAGCACAGCGTTGCTGGTGGATGGCTTGGCCCACAGGAGCTCCAAGGATCGACGCCTCGTTAGCTTCGAACGGAGTTTCGAAAGGCTTTCTTTCGTTGCTGCTCGCTTGCAAGGGCAAGACGCTGCAATTCACACCGTAGATGCCCAAACCATCCAGCAGGGTTACTGGCTATCCTTTTTGCATAAACAGATGGATTCGTCACAGGCCTCTGCTCTCCTCGTTGCTGGTAGCACAGCAGAGTACTTGGATGTGGTGTCAAAAGGCCTGGGGGAGCCTGGTTTGCTTCTTTTGGACCCAGATGTAGAGCTGCCCCGGGAGGAGTTTGCTCGGGACTGGCGAAAGTTGGAGGCTCTCAAGCCCAGAGCCGTTGCGATTTACAACACCAATCTGCCTGGAGGAGCAGGCTGGGTCTTGAACCGCTTACTAGCCTTGGGTACATATGTCGAAGCTGCAGCGGGCAGCAACGATGGTGGTCAAGGAGAACTGGATGAGCTGTTCCAGGTGCGCGCTTGGTCTTTTCTTATTCGAGTGGATAGTGAAGGACCACAGTGGCCACTGCACAACCCACCATCCTTACTGGTCGATTTGCAGAGCCCGGGTGACCTGCCAGAAGCTCAAAGAGATGAAAGTGGTACTGTGAGAATGGTTGGTTCTGAAGCGAAGGAGTGGATCCAAGAAAACCTGAAGCAAGGCTGGCAATGGCAGAACACCACTTTCCGTGCTGTGCGCGGGGGCGAAGTGCTTCGAATCCACCGCACCGTGGGAGAAATTGTGCCTGTAGAGGTGCAGCGTCCGACTGAGGACTTGCTCACACCTCCAACCACAGAAACGAATCCTCACCGATGTTTGGCGGAGGCTGACCCCCTGATTGAAGCGAGAGCTCTGAGGATCCCCTGCTTCTTGAACTGTGAAGGTCCAGATTTTGACCATCGATGGGGCGAATTTCGGCGCAAGGTGTTGCAGAATGCCATGGAGGGACATCCGGCGGTGGAGGAACTCACCGTTGAGGCCACGCTGATGAATAAAGGCATCGTTGAAAGTGATGAGATCCTGATCCATGGTCGCTCCAGGTTCATTTCACGACTGCGTCATGAGTACACCCACGACGGCCATTTGGAAGGGTTCTGTCTCTTTGGCATTACTGCTGCTGCCTTCCTGAAAGGACGCTACATGCTGGGCATGGAACCCAAAGAGTTGGAGTCTCATGGGAGAAGGTTTTTTCCCCACCAATTGGGCTTAGCAGAAATGGAAACTGCATACACGATGGTCACTGATTCAGACAGCAAAGGTGGCATCGAGTTCAGTTTCTTGGAGAACTCAGGATGGGGAGTTGCTTTGGAGGATATCGTGTCGAATTTGGAGCGACAAAAGTCCCAGCTGGGGGCACCCTTCCAGCTTTACCAACCAAAGTGGGCGTCATTGCAGATGCGGGCCACAGGTTTGTCAACACGCCAAGCTGGAAAGTTTCATCCAAGCTGGGAACAGCTGCGCATTTGCGGCTTAGGCGATCACCTCACTGCCACTTTTGATGCTGTTTTGATGGCTGAAAACAGCCTGCGACTGGGCCTGGGTAGTCTAGGAGGTGAGCAGACCTTGAAAATACACCTGGAATTCTTGGGGCGATATTGCCCAAAGCATGCTGGTCAGGGCCATCAATGCCGACAGCGTTGCGAGTTGCTTGGAAGCTGCCACGAGGACGAAGACACCGATCCGGTTGCACGCTTTTTGGATGGGGTAATTCATCCTCAAACACTGGAAGAACTTCCTTTCGATCTCGATGAGAGGCGTGAACGGCTTCGTGAAATCATTCTAGGAGACACCAGGCTGCGCAGTGCTGATTTGCTAGTGTGCTCCCATCCCACATTGCTGTGCATGGTGCTTGCTGAGGCCAGTGAAAAGCCACTTTTCGTCCATGCTTCCTCTACCTTGCTCTATGGTTTGCAATGCCTTCGCTGTGCAGCGGTCAGCAGCAACTTGCGCTACTTTGATCATTCACAGGGTTCAGCTCACAGCTACCTTCAACGTATTCGTTCGCTGCTGGTGACGAAGCCGCAGATGAGCTTTCTGGCTGAGGGCCGCTTCTTGGCCGAACAGATCCAGTACCAGGTGGGAGTTCAAGTGTCTTGGGTGCCCCCCTTGGCGATGTACATCAACGAGGGTAGCTGGTATGGCCAGGGCCAGCAAGGCGTGACACAGGTGGTCGTGCTGAGGTCCCGATTCTTCGTGTCTCTCATGGGTGAATTGCTTAGGTCACTGCTGCGAGAGATTGTGGCCCTCAACTATCAGAAGTACCCTCTGGAGGTGGTTTTCCTGGGAAAGGATAAGCAGTTTGAAGAGCAGTGGCTGTCTTTGCAGCAACTTGCAGGGTTTGATGCAGCTATTTTATGGCCCAATGATTTACACCAGCGCACATTTCACGAAGTCTACAGAATGGGCATGCCCTTGCTGATGCCTGATGCTGACGGCCTCTATCGAGCACAAAAGATGTCCAATTGGGGCTATTCCTCCTACGGTGCCAGATTGGTGACGCTGGAAGAGGACCGCAAGCATCCCTTTCCACCATGGTGGAATAGCTTCAATGCGACTCCTGAAATTGTCAGCTACTGGGAGCGCTTTGCGGACTGGCAGCAGATGCCTCACGTGCAACGGTTTTCCAGTTTGCCTGGCTTGGTGGTGCAGACACTACAGCTGGATTTGCGCAAGACTTCCTTTGACATGTTGACTTTTCACAGGCAATTGTGCAAAGACGCCTTGGATCTCGTTTCCCATGAGATCTTGTCCGTCATGAGGCCAACAAATTGAGCCAATTGAGCCCCCCTTTGCTTTTTGAAGCTCAAGCCGGACGTGCGCGGATTCTTGGGGCCGCTCCACTCGGAGATAGCTGGAGGTAACTGCAGCGATTTTTGTGCGTCACGGGCACCTCGTTGCAGCACCCAACACGCATGGGCATAGTTTGGGAGTGTGGACATGAGCTCTGGCGGCAGTAGATTCACATGATTCACACCGTTAAGCACCACATTCGGCCGGCAGTGTCCAAAGAAACACCGAGCCTTCCAAGAGATCTCCGCAAACAAAGCGAGATGAGGATGGCAGACAAGGAAAAGCATTGCAACAGGGACGTCTCACCCGGTGGTTTCACTATGTTTCACTCACAGTATGGGAACAACGTACCAAGAAAAGAGCCGCCTCGGCCAGTGCACTGGGCAGCTACGATATATGTTTCAAAAGGTGAGAAGAATGTGCCACAGATGCGCCAGGAGAAGTCTGAATGCTCGTACATCTTGGCCAAATTGCTGCACGACCTTCAAGATTGGGATGCAGCACTGGCTGCTGCGCAGGCCTTGTACCTGATGTGGGTGCAGATGGATGTCATGGTTTCTGCTGCTGTATATTCCACTGTGACTGTCGCCCGAAGGATATGGGGCAGACTGAACCCCCAGTTTTGCTTTGATTTGTCAATGATAACCCCCAGTTTTGCTTTGATTTGTAAATGATTTGTCATAAATGTCTCCTATTGTCTCCTCATATTTGGCGAGAGATTTATGTGAACGGAATCGACGGAATGCCCAACAGGATGGAGAGCTGTCCGCAGGAAACGCTGGCTCAAGTGCCCTGATCCTTCGGTGACGAGGGAAACGGCCATGGTGCGGGTCAAGGCATATGAGCTCCGCAACAAGACTTCCAAGGACCTATGTCGACCTATGTCTATCCGTGGGGCTTCAGTCTCCACAGTCTCCATATCAGCAAAATGACATTCATGCGATGAACGTTGACCATGACAGGCACGTCAAGGCATTGAATTCAGCGGTGTGACGATCAACCAAACTTTTGGTGCCATGCAGGAATTGCTGAAAGAATTGGAGGCTGGGGCAGGAGTTGGGAGTAAAGGGTGTTAGTTCATGTTAGCTCATTGCTCCCAATGCGGTACAAGACAGTTGTTGATCCACATAGAGCTAAAGGAGCACCCAAAAACCTAGCCTACCAATTTTGGAGTTTCCTTCAGTCTCCCTGCCGGAATGCACCAGGCGGAATTCCTGCAGTAAGATTCAAATCCCGAGAAGTTGTGTGGCTTCTCATGCTGTGTGACCTGTTGCATTCCATGGGGATAAAAATATGAAGACAATAAACGGAAATGATAGAGAGATATAGGGAGATAATAGGAAGAAAATATGGAGATGATCAGAGAAAATAGTGAGAGCATGGTGAACATAGTAGGGCCCGGGATAACATAGGGAGAAGATAGGGGAGCTAATAGGGCCTGAAATCGGGAAAAATATGGAGAGAAAAGGGAGAAAATGCGGGGACAATATGTGGAAAATAGAAAGTGACGCAGTTTTCCCAACGCGCAGCGAAATGTTTTCTTTAGGGGTTTGAGCGGTTTCGGAGGGGAAGACACGTCATGTCTATGACAGGGGCAGCACTTGGTGGTGAGGACGTGACTGATCAGAATTGGCTTTGTGTGTGACAACCCCTTTGCGCACTCTAATCATGTCCGTTTTTCCCAGCAGCGTCATCATATTTGTGAGAGGTATTCATGTCGCGTGATATGCGCAGCTCGTTAGACTTACAGTATTACGCGTTTGTTGCCTTTGATCGTTGTTAGACCGAGCCGGGTGTAGATGTCAGTGGGTTCAAGAGGGGTGTCCGCGCTGCTGGCCCAAAAGTTTCAAAAGATATCAGTTCAGAGGGTGTCATATACTGAAGCGCTGTCCAAACAATGATAATTAACGTGATTTGAGGTCGTCATGCCAGCAGGCGCAATACGTTTGTGCGGCCTTGAGAAGATGACGCTTCTTGGGGGCACGGCAGGCGCAGTACTGGAGATAGGTCTATTAGTCTATCATGGTCTATCTTGATAAGTGTTCGTGGCGGACGGTTGCGCGCTTCTTTTGAGGAAGCGCAGCCGAAGTGCTGTGGCAAGGTGCAACGAAATGCAAGTTGCGTTGCAGGCGCAGCACACCGTGAACACGTCATTTTAATTGGCAAGCACTGCTAAACGTGGTCAGGTATGGTCAGGTTATGTCAGGTTTCATTTCGAAGGGCGGAGAATGCCACGTAGCCTGGCAGGAGCAGTACTTGAATTGAGATGCCCTTGGTGGCGTGATGCTACAGTAGCGAGATGATACAGAGACAATAGATAATGCTTAGAATTGAGAACAGTGAGAACACAGAAAAAACAAGGCAGTCAAAAGGCAGTCAACAGGGAGAGGATTGGGAGAACATAGGGAGCGAATAGGGCGAGGAGAAAATGGATAATACAAGCGCTAGCGTTAAGTCGTATCAGCTTGTAAAAGTCGGGAGGCCGTGCGCCTGGAAAAAGTTCAAGTTTGGCATCGCCACAACTTTTAGTAATTGAACGATTTCTTCGTTTTGGGGCCGTGCGCCTGGAAAAAGTTCATTTTTTTTTTAAATTGCGTTGATGTTTAAAAAATATATTTGACCATTTTTTCAAGGGGGCAAACGCTGGTTGCTGCTTGCCTGCTGCTGCTTCCCTGCTGTTTGCCTGCTACTTGCTGCTGCTTGCTGCTGCTTACCTGTTGCTGCTCACCTGCTGCTCACTTGCTGCTTGCCTGCTGCTTGCTGCTCCATGCTGCTGCTTGCTGCTACTTGTTGCTCCTTGCTGCTGCTTGCTGCTGCTTGCTGCTGCTTGCTCCTGCTTGCTGCTGCTTGCTGCTGCTTGCTTCTGCTTGCTTCTGCTTGCTTCTGCTTGCTGCTGCTGCTTGCTGCTTGCTTGCTGCTTGCTTGCTGCTGCTTCTTGCCTGCTGCTTTCTTGCTTGCTGCTGCTTGCCTGCTTGCTTGCGTGCTTGCTTGCCTGCTGCTTGCCTGCTGCTGCTGCTGCAGCTGCATGCTGCTGCATGCTGCTTGCTGCTGCTGCTGCTGCTTGCTGCTGCTTGCCTGCTGCTGCTTGCCTGCTGCTGTTGCTTCCTCCTGCTGCTGCTGCTGCGGCTCGTGCAAACATTTCGAAACATTTTGCCGAAACAGAACATAACAGTCTCGGTCGCCTTGTTTGGTGCTGACGGGAGGTACCGGCGGGAGACACCAGCAGAGAGAGGGAATATTTCTGGCTGGTTAGAATGAAACATTGCGGTCGCATAGCGCGGTTGTGTCGCTGTGCTCACCATCTGCGCCATCTCGCACCATCTCGCAAGACGGCAAGACGGCGCAAGACGGAACAGACACAACAGACTGCGCACAAAACCTGCCACGCTTTCCGCCCGCAATGGAATGAAGGTTTTTTTCCCAATTCGTAATTCCTGGGCGGATAGGACAACAAACTTCTTGAGAGCTGTCCACGACATTGATGCACATCGCGCCAGCCATAGATTTGGTTGCGGAAAACAAGGGGCCCCCAGATCCTTATATCATCCTAGATCATAGCCCTGCCAATAGGATTTGTTACAGCTAACCCACTTGCACTGCAAGAAATTTGAGGCTGTACCAATAGGGGTTTGATTTGGGCACACGACGCAGGACATCAATATAATATATTCAAATCCAATAGGATTAGCTGCCGAGAATTTGTTTCCATTAAATTGTGCCCTTCAAAATCATCGCTGTGCGCAATGCTTCGGCTACTTTTAACTACATCGCCAAGTATGGATGAAACAGGCTGTGCCATGGTGATTCTTCTTCCCTGATGTGACTTTCCACTACCTGATGTGACTTCTCCGTATCGCCGCCGTGCCATGGGGATGATGTGACTTTTCCCGCCTGATGTGACTTAAGTACGGTGCTTGTAATGGTAAGGGCGGTAAGGGGAAGAGAACAAGGCCGAAATAGGGAGAACATAGGTTTTGAAAATATACATATATACTATATGAATAGAAATATAATTTATATATATATATATCATGATCATACCTGTGTATATAAACTATTATATATATAATTATATATATATATATACCTCTCTCTCTGCCAGGACATGAAAGGGGAGCTGGCCCAGCTGCGGGTTGCCAAAGTCTCAGGAGGTGCAGCCTCCAAGCTGTCCAAGATCAAGCCGGTGCGCAAGGCACGCGTAAGCTGGGGGACCTCCAAAGGAAGGTTTCCTTAAAATGGAGGATCCCCAATAGCTGGTTGGTTTATAATGGAAAGTCGATGATTTGGGGGTACCCCCATTCTAGGAGACTTCCAAATCATCCAGAACGATCCCAAGTGAGCAATTTTGGATGATTTTGGATGGGGATGCTGATAATTTCGGGGGCCCAATGGTGCCACAATTTTGAGAAACACCGTGAAACACATAATTACATGGTGATGCCCAGGACAAGTCTAACACTCATTGCTGTCAAGGATGGTTTTGTATCTCCTTCTACTTGGCTGCTGACTTTCGCTGTCACAAAGTTAAAAGCTTAAAGGCATTGTTCAGGATCCCAGATGAGCATTGCATGAGTGTAGTGATCCCCAACTCCCGAGAAGGTGATTTTTTAACCTCAGCTGAACGAGGCCATCGCACGCATCCTGACGATCTACAACATGAAACAAAAGGCTGAGGCTGGAGACAGCAATATTTGCACCTTCCAGAAGACATCATTAGCCAAAGAAATCTGATCTACCCATAGCTTACACGGACACTACAATTCTTTGGGGATGGACATGGGTTTCCAATTAGAAGCAAGTTGGGGCGTGGAAGCCACATGAAAGGCTCGCAAGCAGTACCAGGGCAAGAAGTACGTGCCACTGGACCTGCGACCAAAGATACTTGGCACCAGATATTTTGTCGTTCGGCCATCTTTTGCAAATGTCAACCCTGGATGAATAAACTCCAAACGGCTGTTGTTCTTTGGGGGGATACCAATTAAGCACCAGATTATATCAGATCATCATAAATTATCACTATTTCGAGCGTACCCCCATTATAAATAACCCACGGTTTATATCTACAAAGCATCCTTTCGATTCTTCACCTCAGCCAGCTGATTCCAGCCTAGGAAGACCAAAAAGATCCGACAGGCCTTGAAGGCAGAGCAGAAGTACGCCAAGACAGCCAGGCGAAGATTGATCTGTGGCTTTGTCCAAAGGTGTACCCCAAATCTCATGGTTAATGAATATTAATGATAATTGTCAAAGGAAGTTTAGGGGGAGAAACTTCCGTGTTACGGACTTTTAGAATGTCAGGGAAAGAGTTAGTCAAAGAAAGAGTTAGCAAAGAAAGAGTTCGTCAGGGAAAGGGTTAGTCAAAGAAAGAGTTAGTGAGGGAAAGAGTTAGTCAAAGAAAGAGTTAGTGAGGGAAAGAGT